CTTTTATTTATCTTTTTATCCTCACTTTAAAAGTTTAAATTTTCCTTAAAATACTATATATATTGCAAAATCGAAATACATGCATAACTACTGGCTACCTAGCCCCGTACCGTATTCTTGTTTGGGTGTGTGGTCACATCATGCACATCTCGTGTGGCACCCCCCGGTTCTTGTAACCCCGTTACACCCTCCCCCATTAAGTTTGATATTGTTTACAGCTCCAATCGATTAATGCCTCAACGAGGCTCGCGTGTTCGTTAGACACTGTAATACATTTGTTGGAGTTAAACAACTTCTTCGCCCAACGAGCCCTGTGTCCAAGACACGAAATTCACCAAGTCTCGCTGGTTCTGACAGCGAGCACGGGCAGCCCCAACTTCGTCCTCCGCACGCAGTGCGATGCTGGACAGCGCGTCCGCGGCACCGGGGGATGTATATCCTAGGCTCCATGAGCACAAACGTCGCGCTCCGTGCACGCTTTCAGTGCCGAGTGGCCTCGTTGAGGATATGGTCGACTATGAGTCTGACACCTCTTTTCCCGCATGGTATGACGAGGAAGGCGAGCTGCACCAGCAGCGTGATACAAGACCTGCTCGTGCCTTGCGGGCCCCATGTCCGTTCCATGACTTCTCGTCGACTGAGGAACGTGGTGTAATCACCAATAACCTTGACGGGGAACAGAGGCGGCCCTAAAGCGCGCCGTCCCACGGTCGGTCGTTGACCCTCGTGTGAAATATGGCTTCCGCCCTGCTTATCCCGCTTTGGAAGCGAAAGACGCGGTAACTCGATCGTTACGCGTCCACATCATTACCCCCCGCCAGAACGGATGATGAGCTGGTCACACGGAAAGCTCTTTGAGCTCGTTTCTTGGTTCCACAAGAATTTCCGCTACACGTTTATCGCACTCGTCTAAGTGCTCAACGAGGTGGCTCTCGTGTACCCGCATCGCGGGCAATACCTGTAGTGCTCGCCCCCGGCAAAAGCGCTACAGATGACGAAGCGCTCTTTGAGCGGTAGGTGCAACGGCAGCGAAAAATTTCCTCACTGCATAACCTGCAGTTGAGCCACAAGAAAGTGGACGTGCGTGTGGAGCGACAACTCTAATTTGAGTTTGCAAAACTTAAGGCACGCCGTCGACTTCCTTCGGATTGTTGCCCTGCGACGTATGGGCTAACCTTAACGCTCCCGCAAGCTCTTTGTCTGCGACCGCAAGAGCTCAGGGCCACTGCTTGAGCTCAGCTCATACCCTTCCACTTCCGTGGCTATTGCTGGGAAGCGCGGCGCATCTGATGACGTGGGACGTCCTGACCTTTTCGATCAATTCCGTCCACGGCGACCGGGCAATCTTGCCGAAGTGGCGCCTCACACACCAAGAGTTTTCTGAGTCGGGATATCCCCGCCACTTCATTAGACATTGGGTTTGACCCTGGTGACGACATCGTCCAACAAGACGTTCCACGTGATAGCGGACGTCACCGTTCTCACCCAGAAGAGTTGGTGGCGGGCGGTGACGACTGAGTCGACCGCCGTCCGGTGACTCGTGATGTTCATCGAGCCCTTGAGGACAAGGTCCTTCGCAATTGGAGCTCCGCTGAGCGTCTTGCTGAAGAAGCAAATCGCTGTGCAAACGCTCTTGACGATTTAAAGCACGTCGTGCGCCAGTTGTCTCGCCTTGAGTACTACCGCTCTCTGTCGGAGCGACTCCTAGCCGTGGAGCAGGCGAA